TCTAACTAAAACCAAAAAAAAAAAAACAAGAAGGAAAAGACAATGCAATTTTCATCAATATTTCCAGATTTCCATCTGCATTTTTTCAGATTTTTTCGCATTTTCCTTTTACGGTTTTTACCACCGTGAATTTGAGTAACCATAGGACCTTGACTCGTACCAATACCGTCTGTTACTGTTTCTTTCAGACGACGTGCTTGAACTCGTTTGTTTTCCGTACCAATTTCCTCTTTCGAAAGTCGAACTGTAGGAAGTGGATGGATATCCCGAGTTGCTATTTCTGCTGCTTTCCCTGTATATGTTCCTTACTTCCTCTTCATTGTCGTATTTTGCTCGCTGAAAAAAGATTTTGAGCAGGTATGAGAAAGAGGTTAAGAGAGAGAGAGGTTGAGAGAGAGAGAGAGAGGGTAAGAGAGAGGGGGGGTAAGAGAGAGGCTAGACTTGTAACAAAGTGATTTTTTTTTATTCGATTCGATACTCGTGATTTGAATTCGAATAATGTTTTATATTCGAAAGTTCAAACGAATCCGAATACGACTATGTAGATATTCAATTAGAAGTTATCAAATATTCGATTCATTAACAATAATTATATAAATTTTCTAAATTATATAGAGTATATATTTTGTTTATTTATAATGTATATATATTTATATTCCTAATGTTTTAATGACATAAAAAGTAAAAAATTCCAAATTAACAATTTGCCCTAATAACATCTCAAATTGGATAGGAAAAACATAAACAATATTTTCGTAATTATAATTTTTTTTATTATAATATTATTCTGAAAACGAATTTCGAATCGAATCGAATTTGTTCAAATATTCTAAATGAATCGAATACGACTAAAAAATGGAGTTCGTTTACAAATTGAATACGAATTCGAATCTTCAAATAATTTAATGAATCTGAATCGAATATCTTAGTATTCGCTTTGATTCAATTCGTTTACAACCCTAAAGAGAGGGCTAAGAGAGAAAGAGGCTAAAAAATGTACCTTAGAAGGATCCGAAAGAACAGCATAAGCTTCCCCGATAACTTTGAAAAGCCGGTCAGCATCCTCATGAATTTTCTCCCCCAAATCCTTCCATAATGTTCCACCATCCCCAATGTCACTCCTTACCAAGACCTGGCCAGGATATTACGATTCACAAACGATATTCATCACGGTAAGAAAATTTGAATAAAATGTTTTAACCATAAAAGTGAAAATAAACGCCTTCTAAAATACCTTGTCCGGATGATGCCTCAGAGCTGCCTTTCGATATGCCTTCTTAATCTCGGATTCAGCATCAGTTGCTTTGATTCCTCTGCTCGTCAAATTTAAATATTAATGCCATCTTCAAAGTGCAATTACAACAAATAAACCCTTGTGATGAACTGATGATATTACACTATTCTGTTTTGCCTAAAATATTCTCAACCTCAAATTGATCAAATTTGTCAAAAATAAATCCATGTCGGGAGGATATTCATATATTTAGAAGTTAGATGGGTTTTGTTGTGATTAGGTTAAAGCTGAACAAGTATTTGTAACTATCCGAAAAAAAATATGACGATTGGACTTACAGAATGAGGTAAAGATCGAGTGGAGTTTCCTTTTTAGCCTTCTCTTCGAGTGTAGTAAGATGACGACGGGCTTTCCTTAAATCCCTCACACTGCCTCCGTTTGATTTACTTTGAGAGCCCGATTGTTGGCTTTTGGTTTGTGGTCGATTCTCGAGGAGAGAGATCAGTCTCTGCAGATCATAAACCGCTTGTTTATAATCTCTAATCATCTCATGCAAAGTAGCTCGCCTGGAAATTGCCTACATAGAAAGACAATACAAAATTTCATAATAAAAATTGAAGTTATCCATCAACTTAAGCATATTTCATCAATAATTGATAGTAATATGCTATCAATTTCAAGAAAATGTCTATAATTACTTTATTTAATTATTTTGCCTACATAGAAAGACAATAAAAAATTTCGTAAAAAATTGAAGTTATCCATCAACTTAAGCATATTCATCAATTATTGATAGTAATAATATGCTATCAATTTCCTCAAGAAAATGTCTATAATTACTCTATTTAATTATTTTTGTGTAACCAACCTTTTGGTAGTTTTCATCTAAAGCAATGGCTAGGCTACAATCCGCAATGGCATCAACAACTTGGTTGATCGATTGGTAAGCGGCAGCACGATTGCAAAAGCAGATAGCCATAAACGAGCGTGACTCAGAACTTTTCGAGATGGCAGAGGTATATTTCTCTATAGCTTCTGTGTACTTACCACAACTAAAGGCTTCATTTCCCAATTTCTGCAAATGAACAAACAAATCAATTTTTTTTTAAAGCATTATTATATTTTTTTCTCGTATTGAACACTAAAATTAACATTTAACATACTTTCAAGGATAAAAGTTCACGTATAGTGGCACCAAGAGCAATTGAAGATTCGTGACTAGAGTCCCCCAACCTACAATACAAAAACATGGTTAGAAAATTGCAACTGAAAACTATACAAACAGAATAAAAATACTAACCTGGAGCTACCAGGCATTTTTTCTTGTTTTTCAATCAACTCGAGTGCCAAATCGAAATGTCCAAGATGAAAGTACGATTTCGACTGAAGGTGTAGCCTCCAGAAGTTCACATCGAAAAATTTGCTATTTTCATCATCTGAAAAATCAGAGCCGAAGTTCTTTTTGGCTATATGTAGAGTTTGGTCACATAGTTGAATCACTTCATCATACATTCGCAGCTGCAAGGATAAAAGCACGGCCAAATTACATATTGAATTTTTCAATGATGATCTCAACATGTTTTAATGTCAAATAAACGAGACATGTATTAATGAGGCACATACACTGCAAAGAGCCTCCCCTTTCATCTCAAGTAATCTCTCTGAGAATCGACTTATCGACAGGGCCTCGTTAATGTTTTTCAGGGCAGTGCTTGTGGAAGCACTGTTATCTTCTTGCAAAAGTTTGCTCGATTGATCCATGTGCTCAGCTACTTTCTGTTAAGTTTTGGCCAATCAAATGCTGAACTTATACTAGAATGATAAGAAAAAAGGAGAAAGTGAACAATCGAACGAAATTCGGTACTCCCTATCCCAGCACAAGATTCCTTATTTTTTTCTTTTTCTTTTTATATATATACGTCTTGAAATTGCAATATCTCTCACCTTGGCCTTTTGCATGCAATCAGCAGCTTCAACAGTAATTCTCCTATCTAAGCACACGTCTGTCCCCAAGCTCAAGCATTTTGAGTAGCATTCAAGAGCATCATCAATTTCTCCCAAAACCAGATAACAACTGTACGATTATATAAAGAAAAAGGTGGACTGTTAGTCATTACAACGAATGCACTAACAAATAAAAGGCAATCACTTCAAAATTGTTGCAACTATCACAATACTGACGGAGGCAGAAAACCCAAAAGTAAAAGAAAGATTGGAAAAAAAAAAGGAACATTTACTAACTTTCCAGCTCTCAATGTAACTTTCAGAAAGTTCGGATCTAATTCAGTGGCTTTTTTACAGTCTCCTATGGCTTCCCTCATCCTCCCCAGTGACATTCGTGTGGCAGCACGGTTGCTATAACAAAGCAAAAGTGGTTTCAATGAGTGTCCTGGAGTATCAACACGTGGAGCAACATTAATGCCGGTCGAGTAAAATTCCTCAGCTTTCGAAAGTTTCCCTTCGTGATAAGCTTGATTTCCCCTGGACAAAAATCAAGAGTTTGAGTAATATAGCAATAAATGTTTGTGCACAAGTATGATAATCATAAAACAACATAAAAAGTTAAAAACCAATCAGTAAAATCTCCCTTGTATATTAAATAAAAGGTGACTACTAAAATCTTCAAGATTAATTATGAAAAAAACAAGAAGAAAAAAAAAACTTACTTTATTCGCCAATGCTCGCAAGCTTCATGGGCTGGTTTGGGAACGGCATCTTGCTTAGCATTTTCGTTTTCATGATTCAAGCCAACTTTCAACTTATATTTTTTTTTGTACTTACTTCTTATTGAGGACAGTCCATCTTGTGCAGGAAATGGAGGAGAGAAATACGAACCATTCTCTCCATAGTCAGATTTTTCCAAGTGCTCAGAAGAAGCATCTTTCTCGTTCACAGTAAATATTCCTTTTACTCCAGCAGACCTCGTATCAGCCTCTGTTTCACCACGAGCATTCAAGTTCTGATAAGGCGAAAAATCCATGGGTGAACCAATGCCAGGAGATTCTTGATTTTGCACGGAATTGCTTTCTTTAGTGACACGGTCCTGGCCAAACAACTGCTGGACCACTGTATTTTGTCTCGACTTTCCGGTTTTCTTCTTCAATCGATTGCCCCTCAAAGACTTACTATTCACACTGTCAAATTTTTTACATAAGCCGGGGAAAAAATTGTAGGTTGGAATGGAAAATGTCGTATTTGGCGTGCCAAAACCTGTGTTTAACGAGTCTAATCCACCTAATTTGGTTGCAAAACACTTGCTGTTTGGTTCGGAATTAATCTCTGAAGAGCAAAAAACATATGGATCCTTCTCGTTCATGGTTTGATTCTCCTTTCCCGAACCAGAAATCTTCTGATCTCTCCCAAAAACAAACACATTGTTACTGCTCACTGAGAAATCACTAGTTAAGCTTTCAGTCTTCTTGTTTTTTGCTTCAGAAGCATTAATGTTCAATCCCTTCAAAGCATCTGATAAACCAAATGCAGGACCTTCCACAGAAAAGCCACTTGAATTAGTACTCTGCTGAAATCTAGAATTGATTACACTAGAATCGTTATTATTGAAGAGATTTTTGCAACTATCATCACCTGAACTAAATCGAAACTTGAAGCCTCGATTATCGACATTTTCAGAATCTTGTTTTCGTGCATCTTGATTAATTGAGGACCACAGGTTTGTACGGGCACCAAATACAAACTCCGAACTACTAACTTCTTGAAACTCATCAACACTCGAGTTTGAACAAGGCTTAGACGAATCTTGCCGGCTTAACGGCACACGTACATTCGGGCAGCGCTGATGTGAATCAAAACTAGATTCGACATTAACGGATTTCTTGAATCCATTAACTCTCAAATGCGCCTTACATTGTCTCGAGTATTTGGCTGCTAAATTCGAATTCTGACCCGGATTGCTCGCACCAATCACAAATGCAAACTGCCTACTTTCCAAATCTGCATCAACCCGAATGCCAGTTCTGCTCGGACCAAACACAGGAGCTCCATCTGGCAAATTCTGATTGGCAGTTGAATAATCACAACAATCTCCAGTCACGGGGCTTTCATCTTCTTTCCCCTCATTCAGTTTTGCACCGCCGTTATCACCAACAGCAAACACACAACTCTCAGGTTTTTTCTTCACAACTGAAATCGAGCCGCCCTTCGTGTTTGTGGATGAAACAGACACGCCGCCGTCAGACGAAGACAAAGAATCGATCTTTACGGATTTTCCGTCTCTGGGGTTCGCTATTTCTTTCCTTCTCAGCTTCGTGAGCCTAGGCCTGGTCCGATTCGAGGGGATCGATTTTCCGCCGCCGCCGGAGCCAGAAACAAATTCGAACTTCCCTGAGTTTTGGGCTGAAGGGAGATTGGGATTGGGCAAATCGAAAAGGGGGTGCGGGGAAGTGATCGGCGGCGACATTTGAAGCTAGGGTTCCGGCGGGATGGTGAATTTTGTATCTATTGTAGAAAATGATATGTGAACAATAGGGAGGAAAAAAAAGATGGAAGAGTATATTTGATGGGTTTTATTAGTTTTACAGTATTTGAATTGGTTAGATTTGAACGTTGATGCTCCCAGTGAAGCGGCATGTTTGGCTTTAAATATTAGACGTATTTAAGCGAAACGAGTCATTCGTGAGTTCGACTTGCGCTCGTCTAAGCTCGTTGAAAGCTCATTCAATCAACAAGTTGAGTTGAACTCCGACTTATTAAAGCTCCAAATAAAAATTTTTGTTTAATTTTATTTATTTCGACACATCAAGATTCGAGTTTGACTCGTTTAGACACACGTTAGAGACATGTTGTATAATTGTTCAAGTATTAAGCTGTCTACCTCTTGCTAATTACTCTTTGTTAACATGTGCTAATTTTCTTTAATCTAATTTTTTATTAATTTGATGTTTAACCGAATACAATCTTGATTAGTGTTCCTCCTTCGGCACTTCAACAAAATAATATACAAAGAATCATAATTTCATCAACAATCATATCACATGTAATTTTTATGTGTCTTTAAAGTTAAAATATTATACTTGTTCAAAAGTTATATGTTATCACATTTTTCATTTTTACCCAATTCCAACCTAATGATTATGCTCTCAAATTAATTTTGCTAGGGCAAAAGATTTATTTAATGTAAACATGAAGTCATGAACCTATAAGATAAAAAATTGTCTCATTTCTAAATAACCTTTTTAAACCCAAAATTTGAAACTCTTTCATTCAATCTATATCTATATAAAGTATTTATTTGAAATAGTAACTAAATCTCGTAAAAATAAAATAATTTTACCTTTATTAGTAACGTTTTTAAACATTTTTCAAAAGTGGCAATCATTTGAAACTAAAATTACCAAAAATCAATTTATTAATGTACATAATCATTTTGGTGGAATATTGCGGCTATTACCTTTATTAGTTGTATAATTTAAATTTGGTATATAATATATTGACAAAACTTGCGGCTATTACATTTATTAGTTGCATGGTTTAAATTTTGCATACAATATATTGACAAAAAATAAAAATATATTTTTATTTAAAATAATAATCAAACAAACAATTATTTATAAATTTCTGGTCAATATTAACTTGGACATAAATAGAATAGTCAATTACTTATAGTTTAATAAATTACTCAACTACTTAAATTTTTTGATTTAGATAGTTTATACAATAATAAATTTATTTTAATCAATGAAACAATATAAGTTTTATATTAATATTTATTATTTACATAGGTTTTTAAATATATGATAAAATTTTACCAAAATAATTATTTTATAAATCACATTATAGTCAAATCGAATTTCTCAATAAATTTTTTGAAGCGACACTTATTTTGAAACGAATATAATATAATTACTTGTCAGTTATGTGCATCGCACGTATTGTGTACTAATTTTAAATATATATTTTTATGTAATTTTGTAGAATTTAAATTTTATATAACACATTAAATAAATTAATATAGGTAAATTTTATTACACATTAATTCCAAATTTTTATTTTATAAATATTATTTAATAAAAATTTTAATTTATAAATATTAAAGGGTTAATTGCCGATTAAACCTTGACCTTTCAACTTTTGGCAATTTAATCCAACCTTTTGAATAATAGCAATCTAATACCAAGTTTGTCTCCGATTTGTCTCCGGGACTTAAAAATGGTCAGAGGGTCGATAGATGCCAGCGTGTCCGGCAAGATGTACCTACGTGGACTATTACATTTGCTGACCGGGCGAAAGTGAATTATGTGGATTTTCTGTAAAATCCAAGTATAAAACCCCGAAATCCTTCCTCAAAAGTCCCAAAACCTGATCGATCCTTCATCAAACTTCCCAATTTTTTCAAACCCTAATTTTCGAAAATTCTCTCCCAATTTAATAATCCCCAGAAAATCGAAGCCTCGCGACACAAATCTTCTCTGTGTACGAAGATTCCGCAGTGAAATCGTTCAAAACTCGATCGAGAATCTCAAATGACAGTGTAATGTCTAAAAGGTGCTCAATTTCTTCTACAATTTAATCTTCATTTTTTGTCTTTTGTCCTGAAGTAGTGCGACAAAGTTAGGTCGGAATCTGGTAATTTTTGTGTTTTTATATTTGTTTTCTAAGGATGATGCATTTTCAAATATCAAAATGTTTTCCTTAGACTGCTTTCGAAGAACTTAAATTGGGGGTTTTTTTAGAAAAAATAGGGTTTTTTTTTGAAAAATTTGGGTTTATTTGTAGAATTAGTGTTCTGAGAATGTGTACTACCAACAAAGTGGAAGTTGTATAGAGGAAAGTGGAGAGCTCTTGAGATGCTTAGAGGTTCAGTTTTTTACCATTATGCTTGTTTGAGAAGTTACATGACAGAGTTGCTGAGGGTGGACAGGGATGGGAGGTTTGAGTTCCTTCTTGGTGAACAAACAACATTTAGGGGTTTTATGTGGGATTCAGTGCACTCAGAAATGGTTTCCTTAGAGGTTGCAGGCCCATTTTAGGGTTAGATGGCTGTTTTCTAAAGACTTTCTTAGGGGGGGGCTCTTTTGTGTGCCATAGGAAAAGATGGCAACAATCAAGTATACCATGTGGCTTGGGCAGTTGTAGAGACAGAGAATGAGGAATCTTGGAAATGGTTTTTGACTATTTTGTTCACTGATTTGGGCATTAATGATGGTGGTGGATTCACTTTCTTGTCAGACCAACAAAAGTTAAGTTATTTCTATACATGTTTGAAATTCTAAAATTATGAATATGTTCATATATGTGAGACCAACCTGTTCATATATTATTTTTCCTTTTGCAGGGTCTCTTGAATGCTTTGAGAGATTTGGCCCCTCATGCTGAGCAAAGAAACTGTGTTATGCATGTATATATGAACTGGAAGAAAACTTTCAAGGGGCTCACACTGAAAAACATTTTTTGGAAGATTGTTCTCAGTACTCACTTAGGTGACTACAACACACACTTGGAAGATTTGAAGTCTGAGGATCCAGAAGCTTATCAAGTTTTTCTTGACAGAGATCCCACTAAGTTCTGTAAGGCTTATATTTCTTCATTGCCTAGATGTGATATGATTGAGAACAATGTGAGTGACATTCAATGGAATGATTCTTAAGGGTAGAAGCAAACATATTATTGATATGCTTGAGTTTATTAGAAGTGAGTTGATGAAAAGGCAACATGATAAATTGTTAGGACTTAGTGGGCATACAGATAGTATTTGTCCTAGAATAAGAAAGAAGGTTGAGCACAATAAGTATATGTCTAGGGCAAAAGCTATCTGTTATCACATTTTTCATGTGATTTTTATGTTTCTTTAAAGTGAAAATATTATATTTGTTTAAAAGCTATCTGTTATCACATTTTTCATTTTTACCCATTTTCCAACCTAATGATTATGCTCTCAAATTAATTTTGCTAGGGCAAAAGATTTATTTAATGTAAACATGAAGTCATGAACCTATAAGATAAAAAATTGTCTCATTTCTAAATAACCTTTTTAAACCCAAAATCTGAAACCCTTTCATTCAATCTATATCTATATAAAGTATTTACTTGAAATAGTAACTAAAATCTCGTCAAAAATAAAATAATTTTACCTTTATTAGTAACGTTTTTAAACATTTTTTAAAAGTGGCAATCATTTGAAATTAAAATTACAAAAAATCAATGTAATTAATGTACATAATCATTTCGGTGGAATATTGCGGCTATTACCTTTATGATTTGCATAATTTAAATTTGATATATAATATATTGACAAAATTTGCGGCTATTACATTTATTAACTGCATAGTTTAAATTTGGTATACAATATATTGACAAAAAAAATAATTTTATTTAAAAATAAAAGTTAAACAAATAATTATTTATAACTTACGTGTCAATATTAAATTGGATATAAATGGAATAGTCAATTACTTATAGTTTAATAAATTACTCAACTACTTAATTTTTTTTTATTTAGATAATTCATGCAATAATAAATTCATTTTAATTAATGAAACAATATAAATTTTATATTTAGTAAACAACCTGTGTGGTGCACATAACTGATAATAAATCATATTATATTCGTTTCAAAATAGGCGTCATTTCAAAATTTTTATTCAAAAATTCGATTTGACTATAATGTGATTTCATAAAATAATTATTTTGGTAAAATTTTATCATATATTTATAACACTTAAATAAATTAATATAAGTAAATTGCATTACATATTAATTTTATATTTTTAATTTATAACTATTATGTAATAAATATTTTTATTTTTAAATATTAATGAATATCTTTTACTCGGGCATGCATGATATTCATATTAGTTAAACACAAAAAATTGAAATAAAAAAGATTTGGAAAAAAAAAAAGAAAAAAAGAAAAAACTTGATAACTCACACAATAGGACCAATATATATATATATATATATATATATATATACATATAATTACTAGTAAATAGCATTTAATAAAAATTAATTAATTTTACCTATGTGGCAATTGAATATTTTTCTCTCCAAAAACCGTTACTTTTTTATGTATTTAATCTTTTATTTAATTATTAAATAATCAATACTAATCACTTCAAAAGTACAAAAAATCATTTTAAACTTTTTATTGGTGACAGTTGACCATATAATGTGTTGATCGTACAATGTAATTAGATATTATTATTGTGGTTACATTTAAATTATTTTTTTTTAAAAAAAAAATTAAAAACGTATTTGAAATTCCTAAATAAATGATAAACAATTCAAAAAAAAAAGGACGTGCCAAAATATACATTGCATTCAATCAGATAAACGTAATTTTAAAAAAAAGTAAATATTCCAACTTCTTTATTTGTAAATGTTGGCATGCGAAAAAGTGAAAGAAAAATATATATTCATTATATGTATACAAGTAACTCACAAAACTTCACAATACTTTATTTAGAGCATCTCCAATGCTCTAATGTTGTTATAAAATTTTTTTTGACAAATGTCAAAAGATTAAATAGATTGTGAACCATGTAGGACAAATGTTGAGTTCACAACTATTAA